GAACAATTAAGTCTAAGAAAAAAATTGCCGAAGAAAATTCTGTTGCTTTTTTGCAAAAACAATTAGGGCTATAAAACAAGTTAAAATCTTGAATAGTTTTTGGGCTTGAAAAGTTTTAATAGAAAAAAAAATAGTTTTTTACTATCTGTTACGCTTCCTTAAGTAACTTGTTTCAAATTTAGTTAGCTTGAAAAGCTTGCTGGAAAAATTTTACTTAAGAAAAATCAGCTTGATAGGAAAGTTTTAATTTCTGGCAAAACGATTCGATCGGAGAAACAACTTAAAACTTTTAAAAATTCCATCAATTATATAGCTTGTTTAGAGGATTTTGCCATTGAAACTTATAGTTTTTGCAAAACGACTTGGTCATAGAACCAATTTGAATTGTTTTAAAGTCTCAACGCTTTATTAACTTGCTTAGAAAAACATAATGCACATTGTTGGGTCTATGAATTCAATTGAAATTTCTCAAAAAAACTTGAACTTCTCGCCATTCAATCCGCTTTCAAAAAAACGCTTCGAATGGCTCGAGTATAAAAACTTAAAACTTTCGATTAAGGTTCTTAATAAAAACTAACTTGAAATTTATTAAAGTTTTATGGCTTAAATAGTTTGCTTGAAAAACTGGACGTTTTGACGTTTTTCGATCGAATTAGATCTATCAAAAACTTGCTGAAGACAAGTAAGTTTTTTTGAAATACGATTCAATATTTGGAGCAACTTGAAATGCTTCAAAGTGTCATCTTTAGAATGATTCAGTACAAAAATTGCAACTTTTTTTCATCCGATAGAAGATGAGTTAACTTCAAATTTAAATTCCCAGAAAAGCTTGCATTGGAAATTTTTACCTTAATTAAGTCAACTTGCCCAGAAAATTTTTAACTTCTCGCAAACGGATTTGACCCAAAAAACAACTTGAATTTGTACAAAATTTCATCGCTAACTGGTTAGAAAAAAAATATTATTTTTGCCATCCCGTCTGCTGCCTGGAAAAAAAGATGTTTCAAAGTTCCACAAGTTGAATAGCTTGCCAACAAAATATTTGAATTTTGTGCAAAACTCGGTTTAATCATCAACCTGAAGTATTTCCAACTTTCATCTTTTGAATAGCTTGCTTAGAAAAAAAAATAATGTTTTTTTTTGCGAATCCTAAGAAAATACTTAAACACCTAAGAAGCAATTTGAATTATTTCAAAATTTTGTTGGTTGAAAAGCTTGTTTTGAAAAATTTGATTTTTGCAAACCGTTTTGATGCATGAAATAACTCGCTCAAATAGTTTCCTGACAAAAAACCTAAATTTCCGCAAAAAAATTGGTCTAAGAAACAGCATGAATTATTTCAGAGTTTCATTGCTTGTTATTGTTTCAGAGTTTTGTCGTTTAATTGGTTTCAAAAGGGAAATTTCAACTTTTCGCCATCCGATACATCTCTTTTAAACGTGCTTGCGAAGAAAAACAGTAACTGTTCGCATCACGATTTGGTCTGAAAACACCTTGACATTTTCCAAAATTTAGCGTAAAAACAGTGTCAATTGTTTTAATAAACGGATGTATTCTACGCAATAACCAATTGACAATGAAGATATGATGTAGACATAACATTGGCAATCAAGTTTAGAGTTTCGTTGAATCTGAGCAATTTTTATCAATTATATATCTCTGTAATTTCTATACAAGTCCAAATTATCGGAACCTGAAAAAAGTTTTGGTACAGTAGTGATTCAGTAATGAAACAGTACATTGAAAATTGACTCGAAAAAACTGCGGTAAACTCTTGTCGTAACATAATAATTTTACCGCATTTTTATCGGGACTTCTAAAGTGACATAAATCTCGTGACAGAAGTTATCAGCACTGACAAACCAAAATTGTTCATCAATCTGACGAACAAATTAAGAAAAAAACTTGAAAAATTTCTGTGGATTTTTGTTTTTATTCGCTTAGCATCAAACAGTTGTTAAACAAAATAATTGTTGGATCCCAAACTAATAGAAAAAAGTTGCCTAAGAAGTTAAATTTTTTTAGGCCTAAAAAGGCCTTAAAAAGTTTAATATCTGCAAAAACAGTTACCACGTCGAAAAACACGCGTAATCAATTTTCTCTTTTCTCCCAAACAAATGACACCTGCAAAGCAAGACAAAATTTATGTTTTTTTTTCTGTTGCACCTCTGGATCACTACTCATTTTCCCTTGCAGATCACATCGGGTTTTTATTGGATTAGAAACCAGCAAGTCATGAACATGAAAACGGCTAAAAATTTCTGTGCATTTTCAAAAAAAATTATCAATTTATCCTGTGAAAATAACGTTGATCTGAACATTCTATTTTTTTGGACAAAAAACTGGCTATTCATCTTGAATTTTGTTTACGAGCTAACTGTTTTTATTTGATTTTCCCAATGAGCTCTCATTTTTTTCATTCATGTATGCATGGTCGCGTCTGTGCAAAAAAAAGCCCATAAACCCTGGCCCAATTATTTTTATTACCCATTAACACGACGAACCCAACAGAACAATCCATACTTTTTCGCGCGCACTGAAATACGAGTGCGGAATTTAAGCACAGCGAATTGACGCTGATGATGCGCTCGCTACCTGCGATTTCAGCTTTATGACATCTCGGCAAAAAACACTAACCAATAAATTTTTTCGATTGTTGACTGTTTTAAATTAACTCATTTGTATTGGGCTGTTTTTATGTGACTTAATGAACTTCCCATGTGTGATGTGATTTTTTTCCAAAAAAAAAACAAAAAAACACAGCTCATGTTTACCTAAATATAATCATTGTTTCATCGGCTGGAGACCACAGAAAATTTTATATTCTGACAGAAAAATTTAGATTCTGCTTGCCCCGAGAAGGATTGTAAATATAAAGCGGATAGTTCTTAATTTTCCATTTTTTGATGAAAATCTCTCATAACTATTTTTCTGACCTGTAAAATTTTTTGATAAACATTTTGAAAGCTTCCTCCAGAGGGGCTGGTTTCTTGTTTTGTGAACATATTTTTTGGAAAAACATAGCATAGGAAATACAGGTTGCCGGCATCTATGAAAAGTGAAGAGGAATCAATTATACGGACCTTTGTGATCTAAAATATTAACAGTATAATCTATTCCCATGTTGCCCTCAGACAACAAAATAAAGCAAAAAACCGAATGTAATCCTTTGTTTTACCAAACCCAAAATTATTTACAATGCATTTAAAATCAATTAAAATTGATTTTTTCACTCTATTTTGTAGCGTCGTGCAAAGATTGCAATAGTTTTTAAGTTTTTCAAGTGATTAATTTTAGAAAACGAGTGTACGGCCCACTCGATTCTTAAAACTAGAGTTTCTCAAATTGCAGAACAATTGCATTTCCAATCAAGCCCCCCACTCAGTCTTTTCCCCTTTGCAACATCAAACCCCCCCCTTAATTGTCCCTTTGTTCTTTACCTCCGCCACCCCCACCCCTCCCCGCCAAAAAAACCAACCACCTCCCTCCCACCATCAGAACAAAACCGCCTCTCCCTCAACGTTTGGCTTTTTACCAACTTAACACCCTCCCCATCGTTTTCTATTTTGTCCCTTACCACCAGCCGACACCCCCCCCCCAAGACGCCCCCGTGTTGTAATTCTTGACCATCGAAAGTTTTGACAGACTTTTTTGGTCAATTTGATTTCAAAAAAAAGCAGGTCAAAAATTCCATTTTTGGAAAACTTCGGCCAAAGCTTGCATCTTTCGGCGCGTGATACATGTCAAAATGAGTTACCTACATACGTGAAAACTTCTCACATACGTACACACACACAAACATATTAACATACATACAAACGTTGAACAAACCCCCCAAAGACAAACTTCGAAAATGGTTGAAAGCGCTAAAATTAAGTAATATACAAGGAGAAACAAGAATCAAAGTCGCAGAGGAAAAAATTGAGATTGAACAACAAGAAACCAATTTTTGTATAGTATGTGAAAAAGACTGTATAAAGTAGACTGAAAAAACTATTATAATAGAGCGTCATCGTTATTATCTAGAGAAGTGAAATTCAATCGATTCTAACTGATTTGCAATGGACTTTAAAGCTTCATTAAATAATGGCAATACAATCCATTTTTAATTAATTATAATCGATTATTTATCACTTTGACAGACACTGACAGTATCACTCAAACTTAATTGATTTTTATCCATAGAACTCCAGAGCACGATATCAATTAATAGAAAGTGATCAGTGCTTAAAACGAATTTCCAAAAATTGCTACAATTCCGCTTTATTTTTTTTTCGGCGTCGGAAAAATTTTAGCTGTAACTTTTTGCAGTAAGTTGTCTGCAGTAACTGAACAATTTGGCTTACTTCAACGGACTAGCCGGAGAATTGGGCTCTTCTCTATATAATCAGAAGAGTACTCTAAAGCCTAAATTTTTGACTGATCGGCCAGGATTTCAATACGTGTTTGGGAGAAAAATCCGAATTCACCCAATATATTTGATCGCAAAACTTTGGACCGGGTGAATTGCCATTTGCCTTATCGTAGAAGAAAATCATAATCTAAGTTTTTTAGTTTGGACTTGTCAGATCATTTTTTGATGAGATCGGGAAAAAAGGAAATTCAGCAACCAAAGAACTTTTCTTCATGCTTTTTTCAAAATTTACATAGCATTTATAAGAATTTAGCTAACTAAACATGACTTCGATTACTTATTTTTTTTTTAAAAGTTAGGTGCTCAGTTCTTATCTGTAAACTATGAACTTTCGAATGTAAGTTTTGGAACTAAGTTCTAGTTTTCAATAATTGGAATTGTGCGATTATTAAGATTAAGACAATTGATCCTCAGTGAAAGGATCAAAATATGAGCTGTTCAGCTCTTCGCTGAGAACCGCTGTTAATCCACTGGTTTTTTGGCTGTTTTTTTGGGCTGGGTAATGTTGCCTCACCCTCAAGCTACGAACACGGATCATTGTTGTAATACTTTTTTATACATGGTAAAATAAGAGTTCATACCTTACCTGAACTAGTTGGATAACTCATGTTTAATTCTATGAATGAGAATGGTATATTGATTTATACGTTCAATTCTGCTCAAAGGAAAAAGTCTTTTGATAATTTTCGCCTGTCACAAAAAAGTATCTGCAGACAAATGGAACCAAGTAGAGAAAATATGAAAGCGAATGCGAAATATGAAAAATTAACGTCTATCGTTGGATCGTTTCTGCTTTTAATCTTAAGAAAATGACCGTTATTGCTATAATTTCGCTACTTTTAATATGTAAAAAAAATTTTACAGGATAGTTTTTCAAACTTTGATCGAAATTAGTAATTCTCAATTCGTTTTTGCGATCTTTACTTCCAGCTTTCTTTTTTAGATTTGTTGTGAGTATCAATTAAAAACAATTTTTTTGAATATGGACGAAAAACAAAATGAAAAAAGAAGACACTTAACCGAGCAATAAGTCAAGCTAAATAACTAAATAATAAAAGTCGCAGTTTGACTGATTTACAAGAAGGGTGGATGGCTATAAAGGGGTCAAATGTTATACCAATAAATAACCAATTTCTTCTCAACCTTAGAACTCAGTCTTAAGGTTCAGCTGTAAAACTTACCCTGAATTTTACAATACCAAGTTCACAATCAAAATCGTTTTATGTAAAATGCCAATCAAGTGTCAGATGGAGCTGTTTATAACCGAGTTAGAATGATTATAAAGACTAGTATGAGGAATCAATGATAGAATTATTTCAAAATAAGGACCTCGGTTCGACAAGGAAATCAATTTTTTTTCGACCCTTAATGCACTGCACCTCTCTCATTCTTAATCTAATTCCACAGTTTCTTTGATTAATCTTCACCCAGAACAAGTGGCAAAAATCAAGCCTGGAAAAACACCAGTTAGCCAAGCAGAAATCAAGGAAAACCTAAACTTAAGCAGACACGTACTTCTATTTCCCAAATCGAACGATGGCGCTGAGTTGCTATCTGAGCGCCCCGTTTAATAGTACGTACCTTTTACTCGACTGGTTAATTCTTGATTCACCCCTTTGGTTTTGACTGTGAAATTTTGTCACCTGGGACCAAAAGAGGTCCGGTTTTTCAACTGACGTTGAATGGAAAAATCAAAGGTGAACCCTTTCAATTTTGATCAGAAAAAAATGAGATTGAAATCTTAGAGATCGACCCAATGTCTCATTTATTGTTAAACTTATGATGACTCATTAAATATCCAGTCAAAATGAACGGATTTAACTTTCCACTCGAAATTTTGTAAAAACCACCGTGGATATATGGATCAAAGATTGGGCGGAAACAATCATTAGTAAAACGGACAGACTCAGATTTTGTTTATCATGTATCCAAAAATAGCATTGTGCAAAAAATTGAATTTTCTCTGTTTCAACTACAAGTTTTTTGATTTCGAAAAGGAATGCTTCTGATTTTAATTAAAACTTTTTCTGCGAATTTCGCCCAATGATTTTCCAAGTTTTTCCGTCTGCAAAAAATATATATACTAAAATTAAACACACCCGATTACAAAGTTCCTCCCCATTTTCAATGGTCGGAACAATAAAAAATATTTGGTAGTCAATGGCTTTCTTTAAGTCTCACTTCAAACGATTTGTTTTTGGGTTTCAAATGGGCTCTTCCAAGTCTCGAGTGCAATGTGCAGCTTATAAGCTCATTGCAATTTTTTAGCAATTGGTCTGTCGTCAAAGACTTCATTTTCAGCGGCATTAGGTATTGTTGCCAATAGCGATTGGTCTATTCTGTAGTTCATCTGTAGCTCACCATTAGACAGATTCGTTTCAAAAACGCCTACAAGGTACTCCTATGTACATAAAGCGAGCACAACAAATCAAGAGTTTGATGCTAAATTGAGATTCCTTCACTGGAAAAATCTAAAGCGCTTCTATTTAAGGCCCGTTTTGAACAACATCGGTAAATTTATAATCGTTTCTCATTTTTACTTTATGTTCAAACTCAAAACTGGCAGATTTCCGCTTTTTTAACTTTGTCGTATTTTTTTTAATTTAAAGATTCGGATGAAGGGACATGTCATCATCAACATCAGATCGCCTTTGCCTAATTTTTTTGGTAAGTATACTGCAAATTGGTCTTTTAAAACGCTCTTCGAAAATTAGCCTCTCAGACTTTCATAACCCCCTTCCGTTAATGAAAACTTGCAGGGTGGGTAGCAATGTTGTTTTGTTGCTAGGCTGAAGCGGGCACGAAATCGCAAAACCCATTTGCAAACTCTTTATTCTGTTGATAAAGTTTCACAAGTATGTTATGATTAAGATTATGTCTTGTATCTGCGCTCAGTAATTACACCATTGTTTCGCCCTGATGACTCAAACAGTTTGAAATTGACTAATTCATCTGCAGAAAAATTCAAATATATATAATTCAAACTGAGTAAAAAATTGATGTTCGTGCCGGTTATTTTGTAACGTTCCGTCCGCTGAAATGCTTATGTAAATAAATCTCGACTTTTGGAGTCGCCTCAGAAACAGATAATTTGATAGACGTTTTTTGGTAGGGTGCCAATTCTTAACAGGCGACAATTCGTAACAAGGGACCATTCGTAAGAAGGCCTTGGCAAGTAGAATACGCTTGCTCCGCTGCGCTTACATCCGTCACTAAAAGAATACTGCGCGTGAATCAGTGTTCCCCGCTTAATCTACTGTTACGAATTGTCGATTGTTACCAATTGTCGCCTCACGCGTTTTTCGACGGTGGTTCCACTAAATAAACTTGGTGACCAAATTTTTCAATATGATCTCGTGTTTACACTGTTGGTTACAATTTTTTTTACCGTTATCTGGTGTCCCTAAATGTCTCTCGGTCGCTGCAATTCGTTGACATAATTTGTTTTTTTTAAGTTTTAGTGCAAAGCAGCAATTAAGCTAGCATACTTTCTGACTCCGCCTCGAGATTTGCTGACTTGTTGCCTACAAATGTTGACTTTGACCTCAAAACTGGCCTGAAGAATCGCGTGCTAAAATTTGTCTGTGATTTTGTTTCACCAATTGCTATTCTCCGCACAGCTCACGTTTCTTCTAATTTCATAAGAACATGTCTCAAAAAAATCCAATTAATTTTTGAAAAATCATTAAAATCATGGCAATAATTTTTTTAATAGTCATCATAGTCAGTCATCATGATACTTTCGATAAAAATTATTATCAATTAAATAAAGTTTTCTTAATAATCATATTATTGATCAAATAATTTTTAAAAAATGTGTATACCAAATACAATGGGTAAGATAATGATATTAAAAAATGAAATCTTTAGCGCTTTAATTCAATAATTTGCATTCATTCGAAAAGTGTTTGTTGTAAAAACATCTGAAATCTATAATTGCCAAGAAAGTTAAGGACAAATGTTTAGACATCACGAAAACAAATCAGACTTCCCATAACACTGATATAAATCGAGAAGCTCAGGTTCCTAACCAAGGGTCGTTTTACTGTATAAATAAGTTGGTTTACTCATACACTCTCATTGTCTCATCCTAACACAATCCCAATCCAACCCATCAAATATGCTGCCCTGATGGTATCCACTTGTCGTTCTATGAAAATAGTTTATTACAAATTTTCAAACCTCAAAAAAAATTTTCGGATGTTTTCATTTAATGAACGATAAGCAAAATGCCACGGTGCAATATGCAACATCAGCCTATGTGAAGGAAGAATTGGGTGCGATACAAGGCCAGGCAGAATTCATATAAAATGCAATGGCTAAGCACCCAGCTTTCAGTATTGGGACAGTTTTAGTTGCTCCTTTCGCCTTAGTTACTAAACCTAAGTTCTATGGTCCGTTAGTCCTATCCCGGGTCGAGGTCGGGGACTTATGTTGCGTCCATTGCGACTGAAAATGGGTATGTTGCAACTTTGCGCGACCGAAGAATTTTTGTGCGACTTTGCGCGACCCAAACAAGATATGTTGCGACTTTGTACGACCCAAAAAAGGTATGTTGCGATCATTGCGACTCAAAATGGGTATTTTCTGAATTTCTCGATTTATGTTTCAACTTTCTCGACTAAAATCGGGTTTGTTTTGACTTTGCCCTCGACTGAAAATTGCTTCTCGGCCGCGGAATTTCAGTCACAAAACTGCACTTGCTGGACTTTCAAAGTCGAAACATAAGTCGAGCATCTCGACCCGGGTTGCGCAACCCATGTTGCAAGCTTGCGCGACCCATGTTGCGAGTTTGCGCGACACAGGTTGCGACTTTGCGCGACGCATGTTTCGACTTTGCGCGACACAAGTTGCGACTTGGCGCGACCCAAGTTGCGACCTTGCGCGACCCAAATTAGCTATGTTGCGACTTTGCGCGACTCAAGCGTCTTGCGGGATGATGGAATTTTGGTCGCAGAAAACCCTTTTCGGTCGCAACATGAGTCGCGGACCTCGGCCCGGTATTTATTCAATGGTCAAAACCTAGTCCGGAACTAATAGTGAACAAAGGGATTTAGTTTTTGTATTGCTGAAAACGTAAGGAGCCAAAAGTCTTTTTTTTTCATTTCAAAAAACAAAATAAATAAACTTCGCAGAAACATTTAACAAAATTAAAAACAGGTCAATCAAAAATCAAGAAAACGGAATTGCGATGCACGCAAAAAGGGCATTTCTGCTCTTGCTGTTTTGAAAAAGCAGCTCAAAAACCGATGCATCTGTATCTAAAATCATGGCAAGACGACCTTAAAAAATGTAAAATAGAGATTTGATGGATCTACGACGAAGAAAAAACCTTTAGAAAACTTTCTACCAAAATCAAAGATTAGCAACTGAAACCTAGGAGTGTAAGAACCTTGTGAGCACATGTAAAAGGTGAGTAGATTTCAAAGAGGTTCAGTCGTTTAAAAGGACTGCCGATAGCGAAAAGTAAATAAGTAGACAAGGAAGATTACCTTCTGCCAAACTTATTATTTATAACAGTCATATACCATGCCCGGAAAAATTAGTTCCTTCGAATACATTAACCGTTGATCACATAATTGCTCTTAAAGTTGAACAAGCCATCCGTTCACGTGATACTTACGGCCCTGATCCAAATAAACTGAGTCAAAGCCCATTTCAATCTGGAGCACAACTGAAAAAATGTGTCATCGAATAACGATTTGCCATGTAATTGTGAGAGCAAAAAAACACATAAAAACGCCGGCAAAAAGGCAAATGCCCTTGAGGCAGAGATTG